TCGAGTTGCCTCCTAAAGAATGATGTAGGGGATTTCACTCTCCTGTTGCCGAAGCTCTGTGGGCTCCTCAGCCTCAGCCTGGTATCCAAGGCCCTTCATGACCTGGGCCTGGTGTCATCTCTCCAGGCTCCTCCCAGTGCTTCACCTTTCCTGCCATCTCACTCCTTCCATCTTCAGGCCTTTGCTCATAATATTCTCTACCTGGAGTGCCCTCATCCTTCAAGGGCACCTCTTCCAGGAAGCCTTCCTTGGTTTGCTCAGGCACGGTTACCACCCTCCTTGAAGATCCCATAGACCTTCCCATGATGTGTTTTCCGTGGGTTACTGTGTCTGCCTGTCTTGTCACTCACTCAGGGACATTTACCAAGTGTCCACCAGGAGAGTTGTTGGGAGCACGAGCCCCGCTATCAGACAGGCCCAAATTCAAATCCGGCTTTGCCTTTTGCCAGCTAAGTGACCTCAGGCATTCACTGCCCCTCTCTGAGCCTCAGTTTCCTTCTCTGCCATGCCCTAGAGCTGGTGCATGTCCTTGGGCAACTGGAGGATGACGCCAACCTGGCAAGGTCAGTGCTGGGAGTGAGAGGAGAGGCCAAGGCTGGGGTGAGCGAAGAAGCTGTGGCTGCAGCAACCTCCAGGGTCAGAGCCGTGAGGAGGCAGCCGTGTGCTCCAGCAGCACAAGGAGCACAGAGTGGGAGTGAGCCACTGACCGGGGGTGGTGGTGGTGGGGGGTGACTAGGAGGCTGAATCGGCTCTTCCAGGAGGAAAAGTATATCCGACTCCTAGATTGCTATAACCAGTTGCCACAAGCTTGGTGGCTCAAAACAATACCCACTTTTCCTCTTACAGTTCTGGAGGCCAGAAATCCAAAATCAGTTTCAGTGGGCTGAAACCAAGGTGTCTGCAGGGCCATGCCACTGCAGAGGCTTTGAGGAGAGCCTGTTTTGTTGCCCTTTCCGGCTTCTAGAGCTGCATTCCTTGGCTCAGGGCCCCTACGTCCAGCTTCAAAGTCTGCAAGGTAGCATCTTCAAATCTCTTTCTTTCCTTCCATCATCACATTGCCTTCCGCCTTCTGTCTGTAATCTCCCTCTGCATCCCTCTTATAAAGACACTTGTGATTGTAATAATCCAGGATAATCTCCTCATTTTAAAATCCTTAATCACAAGTACAAAGTCTTTGCCATATAAGGTAATATTCACAGGTTCCAGGAATTAGGAGGTGGACATCTTGTCGGGGGCATTATTCAGCCTGTCACAGAAGGCAACCAAGCGAAGAGGTTCAGATCACTGACTCTGAAGCCATTTCTGGGGGCTTGAACTCAGCGGCACCATTTGCCAGCTTCCTGGCTTTGGGCAAGTTGCTACATCTCTGATACTGTTTCCTCGTCTATAAAATGGGAACAGTGCCTAGCTCCAGACAAGAATTCAGTAGGCATTTAAGTATCTGTTGGGCTGAGGGAGCTGCATGTGCCAGGGCCTGGAGGTTAAGAGAGACCCCGGAAGGGCCCTTCTGTAGAAAGAAGGGACGAAGGGCAGGAAAGGGAACAAGGCAGGGCAGGCTGGGGTGGAGGAATGAGGGTGGAGCCGGGCCATGTCCCAGGGAGGAGGGAGAGAGAGAGCGAGAGAGAGCGAGAGAGCGAGAGAGCGAGAGAGCGAGAGAGAGAGAGAGAGAGAGAGCGAGAGTGTGTGTGTGTGTGTGTGTGTGTGTGCGTGTGTGCAGGGCAGTTTTAGGATGGAGCATCGTAAGGCTCTCTTTAGTCTCCAGCTCTGGGCTTGAACCCAGAAAGAAGACAACAGCGTCCTGAAACACTGAGATGTGGGGTAGGAGTGCAGGCCAAGGGGCCAGATTAAACCTGGGGTCAACTCCCTCCTCGGCCCCTCCCAGCTTCCTGCCCTTATCCAGAGAAGCTGGGCTTACCCGTGGGCACCGGCTGAGGGAGGCTGAGGCACGGGAGCTCAGGGCTTGCTTTGTATCGCTACAGTTACCATTTTTCTTTCTGGACCTGGGCACTCGGCTCCAGAACCTCCCTCCCCTGGGGACTCACTGCACAGACTTGTTCTAACAGATCCAAGGGGGCCACCAGCAATCTTGGCCCCGCCCCCCCAAAAGGCACCCCCCCCATAGGAAGCAGTAGGCTGTGGGGCTGCAGGAGGAAGGTGGGGGGCATTTGAAGCTGGGTCTTGACTGGTTCCCAGGAAGCCAGAGTAGGGGACCTTCTAAAAGCCTGAGCACCCTGAGCCTTCCTTACCCAGCCAGCCGCTCTCAGGGTGATTGTGACCTAGCCTGGACACTAGGGACCCACAGGGCTTTGTCAGTGTTCCCACCCCACACTCCCCACTGAGCTCAGTCCTGCTGGCTGCTTGGAAGGTCCCAGGCCCCGCCTGGTCAGGGCTGTCTGGCCTGGCCTACCAGCCCCTGAGGCAGGACATTGCTGAGTCGGCTGAGACATCCCCCCGGCAGTGACAGAGGCTTCTGGGATCAGTTAGCAGGACCACCCTAACAGGGCTCACGGCCCCTGATGTGTGCTCCACAGGCACGCAGCAGCATCATCGACTGATCGGAGCCCCTAACAGCCTCCATGGCCCGGAGGTGAAGCGAGGGGCCGCCGCTGGCCTGTCTGATGCGCCTGGGCTTGGCCTCCAACAATCCAGCACAGAGCTTGCCCCTTCCCATCAGGCGACAGGGGGCTACCTTTTCACCACGTGCACTTTAATGGCCCTGCCTATCCTGGTGGTGCGGATGCAGCTACAGGTCTTTTTCAATTTTCACATACGTAAAATGGGTCACCTACTAATTAGCGATCGCTTTCTGGAAATCTGGGAGAAAAATCATTCTCCCTTTTTCAGCAAGAACCAGCACTAAATCACCAGCAAAGGAATAGTTGAATTTATTCTTTAAACAAATGGCTCTTGGGTCCCTGCTATGAGTCAGGCAGAAAGAGAGACGAGTAAGGTATCTGCCATGCTCAGAGAGCTCAGGCCCTCCTGGGGATGTGTGTGAACCGATTCAATGCGAGGAGGTCAGAGAGATGAAGAAACTGCTTGGTGGGGGGAGAGAGTTTTAGGGAAGGCTTCGTGGAGGAGGTGGCATTTGAGCAGGAATTCCTGCTCAGGTTCAGAGGTGGGGAGTTTGGCCCCAGGGGGAACAGCAGCCATGATTGGAGCATGGACAGGACTTGGGGTGACTCTGGGCCAGTGGGAGCTGGTCAGAAAGGAGGCTGATGGACTCCATGAGGACAGAACTGTCTGTCTCTTATCCCAGCCCCAGCACGGGGCCTGGCACATAGTCTGAGCTGAACAAATGTTGAAAGAATGAAGGGATTGTAAGAGCCCTGTATACAGGTCTGAGGGGTCAAGCCTCCAACCTGTGGACAGTGGAAGCCACTATGAGGTTTTGTACAGGTTGTAAGGTAGGGGTCCTGCTTCATCCTTTTGCATGTGGATGTCCATTTCTCCCAGCGCTATTAGTTGAAAAGACTGTTTTTCCCCATTGAATTATCTTGGCCTGTTTATTGAAACGAATTGACCATAAATGTAAAAGTACTGCAGGGTTTTGAGAGGGGAGTAACATGGTCAGATCTGTGCTATAGGAAGATCAATCTGGTGGCAGAAACTGGGAAGGGCGGAAAGAGGAGGGGTTGGAGACTAGATGGGTGGGCTCGAGGGAGGAAGGAAGGGGGAACTAGGGAGAAAAGCAGTCCCCAGATCAGCAGGGGCGCATGGTGGGGAGCCAGGTACAGGGCTGTGCCGGAATGTGACCTGCGGAGGGGCCTGTGGCACTCACTGGGGAAGTGGGATGGGGCGGGTAAGGGGGTGACAGAGAAAAAGCCTGTGCTCCTCAGCCCCTCAATGTCCCAGAGTGGGAAAATTAACCCCTCTCTAGATATGCCAATGCGAGTAGGTTTTCAGGTAACGAGAGGATTGTAAATGCAAAACAATGCCAATTACAGCAGCGTTACCCCAGATTATAAAGCTTCTAAGAAGCAGCTCACACCTCCAGGCCTGCTGTGCCTGGAAATTTCCAGGGGAGGCTGGGGATCTAAACATCCAGGCTGCCTGAGGCCAGGCCCCACAGCGGGTGTGGGCAGCTGGGCAGGCCTGGCCCCGTCACTCCTACTGACCTGCCTTCATTTCCCCAAGGAAATAGACCACTGACGGGCAAGAGGACACCCCCGGGTCCCCACAATTCTGAGCAATATTCTTAAGGAAATTTGTCCCTTCATGGGCCCCCCAGCCGGGGGGGCACAGAGTCCCTCCATGGCTCTTTCTGCCTCCCCTCCCGCTGCCCTTTGCCTGCACACAGTTGGAACCAGCCCAGCGCTGCCCCTTCTGTGCTACAATGACCTTTAGCCGGTCAGCTTTCCTGAATCGCAGTCTCTGCTTTGGTAAAATGCAGAGACAAGCCCCCCCACACACACACACACACTTCGCAGTGTGTTTTCAGGATTAAATGAGATCTTGTAGATAAAGAGTCTGAACAACAGAAACCAGTGCAACCTCCATGCACGACGATTTGGCAGTGTCCGTTAAAATAGTAAATGTCCACGCCCTGGGCCCCAGCGATTTCTTCTCGCCATTTCCTGCAGAGAAAGTTTTGCAGATGCGTCCAAGGGTGTTCCCTGCAGCACCTTCTGTGAGGTTAGAAAATCATAAACAACTGAAAGGGGCATTAACAGGGGCCTGATTAAATTAGGATCCATCAGTCCTGTGGAATTCTTTGCTGTAATTAAAGAGTCTGGCAGTTCCTGTGTGCTGTCACCGGCAGATCCCCACCACGTGGGACTGCATGAACAAAGCAAGAGCAAATAACACCTACAGATGATTCCATTTAAGCTTTCCAGAACCCCACACAAACACTAGATATTTTATGTTTGTCTGTGTGCATATATGTACGTAGATGCAATAAGAACAGCCCGGAAGAAAATATGCCCCAATGACCCAGGGTTGCCTCTGGGGAGGACATTGGGATGGAGGCTGGGAGGTGGCAGGAACGTCAAAGAGAATTTCGCTTTGCTGTAGTGTCTACGTGCTTTACTGCAGTACATGCCTGTGTCGCCTGCAGAGATACACACATACAAAACACACGCCAACACCAAGTGCAGAGAATAGTAACGGTTAGCCTGACCCACGCACCATCAAGGCCCAGAGGCCACAATTCTGACTGTAGGTCAAGGAGGGCACCTAGGAAGGAAGGTGTCTCAGTGCCTCCTGCCACTGTCCGCAGCTCTTACAGTCTGGATTCAGGTCTGGGGAAGCCCCTCAGGTGGGCCAATGCCATCCCCTGGCGTGCGGGAGGGACGCACTCTGTTAGCCTGGCTGGGCCAAGGCCCCAGCCCGCCTCTCCTGGCTGGGCGTTCTGCCAAGAAAACTCTTGAACTACATAAAAATCCATCCTGGAAATCCGAGAGGCATCCTTAGAACGGAGCGTAGCCTTTCAATTCGAATGGGGAAAAAAAGGCAGATTTGCCTGTAACTTGATTTCAGGTGAGTGAGGCCCGGTGGCCAAAATGCAACGACTGCATCTGGCCGTGGCCCTCACACCAAGGTCCTGCCATGTGCTGTGAAGGGGACCCCAGCCCCACCAAGGTTTCCAGTGTAACCAGCACGTGTTCCCATGGAAACTCTGCTTTGCAGAATCCTTTGGAAATTGTTTCCGAGGAGGGGGAACCGCTTCCCACACCCGCTTTGCATTCCTGGGTTTGGTTTCCAGGGATGATTTTCTCCAAGTGCTGAGAGGGGCAGGAGCAGGAGGGAGGGCTGGAGGCTGAAACCTGCCCGAAGGGGCAGAATGGCCATTTCTAAGCCGCTACCCTGGAGAGACCAGTGGAGGCTGAGGGTGTCAGCAGTGGGTGAGATGTTTCAGATGCCCAGAGGCCTGGAAGAGGGGTGGCAGGGGTGTGACCTAGAGATGGTAGGGAATCCCAGGTCAGAGCTAGGGCGGGTCAGGCAGAAAGAAGCATAGGCCGAGACCGTGACATACATGTCCGCCCCCCTGTGGTGAGGCTGGGGCGGGGTCGGGACAGGAGGAAGCAGTGCCCGAGGCCTGGCCATCAGGGGCTGCCAGGGGCTTCTGCTACAAGCTCCAGGGCCAGGGGTCCACCCTCAGGATGGCTGCCATCCACCCTACTGGTCTAAGGCTCCCCTTCACCTGGGTCTCACCTATTGCTCCTCAGCCTGCAGGGGGCCAAAGAAGGGGGTCCCCACCTCCAGGGAGGCCTGCCCCTCATTTAGCAGATTCCCTCCGCACTGCCCAGTGGCAGCCTGTTTTTCCTGAAGGATGAGTGGAGAAGGAAATACACACCCGCTGAGCCTCTGCAGGGCAGGGAGTTCCCCATCTGTCCTCTCTGAGTAACACTCAGCGACTTGATTGTTACTGAAGCCAAGGCTCAGGTGGACATGGCTTCTGGGAGGTGGAGCTGGGATTCGAGAGAGGCCAGCCCCAGATGACCCCCAAGGGCGGTTCCTCTCTCTTCTCTCCTCAGCCCACTCAGAGTCCACCACGCAAACCTGCCCTCCAGGAGCTCAGTTCGAGCCCCCTCTGCCCCCTCCTCCTCTCTCGTGGCCACCTGCGCCCCCTGCAGTCGTCTGCCACCCCTCACCCCTGCACCAGCCCATCTCCGCAGGCTCCCAGTCCCGGGGGCTGGGGAAGGAGGGGTGCTTAGTCTTCTTGGCTCCGTACTGGGCGTCCCAGAACGTTCTCCTCTGGGGGGTCCCCCCTTCCACCTTGACCCTCCTCCCTGCCTCTCTCCTTGCTCGCTGAAGACCTCAGCGCCTGCCCAGCCTTGCCCTGAACTGAGCTCGGTCACCACACTTGACAACGTCTGTGTCCACAAGAGGGGCGATGAGTTGGTCCTTGAGGGCCTCACAGGCCGCAGGGAAGAGTTGGGATTTTGTTCCAAGTGAGATGGGAACAGTGGGGGGTTTTGCACACGGGGAGGGCCATGGTCCTGTGTAGGTCTCAGGATCCTTTGCTTCGTGGAGAGGGGACTGCAGCGGGCTGGGCCAGGGCGGGGGGCGCAGTCTCTCCAGGCTCCCCGCACTACCCCAGGGGCCAACTGGAAAAGGCTGATTCCCAGCCTGAGGGTCCGGGGCCAGGGGCTGAGGACGCTCTGGGGCCCAGCGAGGCGGCCTCCTCCTGTCTTGCTGCCTTTGGTCTTCCCTGGAGAGGCTCCGCTGCACGCTGAGCGGCCTGCCTCCCTCACCCGGCCCCCAGCCCCGGCCTCTGCCTCAGGCTGACGGAGTCAGGGGCCTGGAAGGCAGCTTCGCCTCCCTAAACAGGGTAGGAGTTCGTTAAACTGCCTTCTGGCAAGGGGGGGCCTCTCCCCACAGCCCCGTGTTCCCGCTCAGAGCCCTCCTTGCCGTGTGCTCCAAGGCCAGGCTCAGAACCAAGCTGAGATGCTGTGAACCGTGCCACAGGCCCAAGGGGGCCACACACAGCCCTAGCGGAGGGGCTGGGGCTTCTTCCTGACGTCAACCCAGGCCCACCCTGCCGGCCCCAGCCCTTACCCTGCGGGGGCGCTGACCTGCAGGGCTGAAGGTGCTACCCACAAACCAGCCGGGGGTCTGGCCAGGGCCTGCGCCTCGGGCCACCACCCTCCTGGGCACATTGGGGTTTGTGTGAGAGGGCACCTGAGGGACTCTGGGGACAGCACTGGGTGTGTGTGGAGGGAGGACTGGCCTGCCCATTGCACGAATGACCAAATAGTGGAAAGCAAGGGAGGGATGGGGGACAGCAGGGGAGGGAGGGCTCAGAGCCCGACAGCCTGGGTGAGCCCACCCTTAGCCCTGGTCTGCCTGTGAGGTAGGCTGCCGTGAGGTGAAATGAGGGGTAACGTGAACACTCGAGCAGCAGAAATGGCTCAGGGTCAGACACTGAGGGGCCATGGGGCCTGAGCTTCTGCAGCACAAAGGGACCCCTCTGCCCACCCCAGGGGAAGGCCCAAGAACAGAGCTATGCAGCTGGACCACGACAGAGAGGGCTGGCCTCCAGGCAGCTGGGACCGGCCCGGGGCAAGGAGGGAAGGGGCCGGGCTGGCCTCGATCCCCAGGGGCCGGGGCTGGGGCATAGGGCAGACAAAGACAGAGGAGGTGGGAGGGGTCGAGATAGGCCAGGTGGAGGGGCTCTGGGGAACTGGGCTGTAGGTAGACCAGGAGCAGCGAGGCCCTGAGGCTGGGGTGAGCAGGGCGTGGTGAGGAAGCAGTTGGCACACAGAGCGTAGGCGGCCAGGCTGATGGGAAACAACCTTGGGGTCCTTGCTGGGGGAGGCAGAGAGCTCCCTGCGTGTGCCCGGACCCTCGCAGTCCCAGGACCCCACTGAGCCGCCTCCCCGGCCTCCAGCTCTGTTCCTGAGCCCAGCCCAGCCTCTGCATGGTTCATTCCTGCCCACGCCCCATACCCCCCACGCCATCCCCCGATCTACTTTGTGTGGTCGCCTCGTGCCTTTGGCCTAGTTGGGCGGGGGGCGGGGAGACGGGGGCCATTTGCCTAGTTGCTCCTTTATTCACCCACGCTGGGACCCCTGTGCACACAGTACTGACGAGGGTCCCTGGCGGGAACCTCCTGGTGGTTCAGGCTGGTACAAGAGGGCCCGTGTGTCTAGAGAGGGTAAGAAGGGCTCTGGGTGGCGTTCAGGAGAGCCCTTGGGGAGGGAGGGAGGGCCCGCCTGGCAGAGGGAGCCGCTCGGGCAAAGGTCCGGAGATGTGGCACACTCGGCGGGTGTGGCCGGGCTGCAGAATGGGGGGGTGGGGTGGGGCCAGCCAAGGCAAGAGGGCAAGTGAGGTGATGGGGCACCCCTGGGGCCTCACTCCTGGTACAGATCGAGTCCTTTGGAGGGAGAGGCTGCCCCAGGGCCTCTGATCCAGGCAAGACCCAGGAGCAGGCAGAGCTTGTCCTAGAGATTTTCATAGACCAGGTTAAATTCACCATCACCCTCAGATCCATGTTGTTTCTCCTGGAAAAAAATAAAAAGAAAAAAAGAAAGAAAAAACAGTAGGGAGGGAAAAGAACAAACTTGCACAACTTTAGTTTTAGTCAGAGGCAGACAAGCAGATGGCTTCCCAAGCAGCTTTGACAGGGAGACCCGTCCTTGCGCCCAAGCCCACCGCACCAGCCTCTTCTCCCATCATTCCAGCCCATGCCTGCTCTCTGCCCTCCAACTCCACAGACCTCTTCTTTCCTGCCTTGGGCCTCCCCAGGTGCTCTTCCCTCTGCCTGGTGTGCTGCCTCCATCCTACCTGTTCCCTGGCTACCTCCTCCTCACTCTGCACCCCCGAGAGCCCCCTTCCCAGCTCTGGCCTAGTCCCTCCCCAGAGCCCACCCTTCACAGGGGGCTACAAATGTCTCTGTGTGTTTGTAAGATCAGTGACCCTGTTCCTGCAGACCCAAGGATCCTGGAGGGCCGGAACATTTCTAGTCATCCTGCCAGGACTTCAGGGCCTGGCACATGGTGGGCACGGCCTGGGATGGCCCAGACATCCTTGGGGAAGCCCTGCCTCCAATCAGAGCCTAGTTCAGGGATGAGTATACAAAGGGCTTTGAGAATAGGAGATTCAACAAACAGAGTCAGCCTGGGCCAACGGGGCCAAGCACTTGCTCCCCTCACTTCCTGATGGCTTTTCCAAGGTGCCTACCCACAGCCCTTGAGCTCCTGAATCCAACCTTGCACTTGATGGCGTCCAAAGCTCTGGTGTAGATGCTACTTAACTTGGAACTCATTTGAATTCAGGGGCAGTTGATTTTGCAGTAAAGTGTCACTCATCCACTTTACAGATGAGCAGACTGAGGTTTAAGAGAGAATCATGATCGGGACTTCCCTGGTGGCTCAGTGGTTAAGAACCCGCCAGCCAGTGCAGGGGACACGGGTGTGAGCCCTGGTCCGGGAACATCCTACATGCTGCAGAGCAACTAAGCCCGTGAGCCACAACTACTGAAGCCCGCGCTCCTGGAGCCCATGCTCCGCAACAGGAGAAGCCATCGCACCGCGATGAAGAGTAGCCCCCGCTCGCTGCAACTAGAGAAAGCCCGTGTGCAGCAACGAAGACCCACTGCATCCATAAATAAATAAATAAATGTATTAAAAAAAGAGAGAGAGAGAGAATCATGATCAAGTGATATGCCTTAGTCCCCCTCGTGATAATAACGAAGCCCTGTCCAGACCCTCCCAGGCTGGCATCAGCGTAGACTCCAGCTCCCGGCTTTAGCCGCCTTCCGCCTGGGGAGAGCTAGGAGCCAAACACCCCTGCTTTACTGGCCAGTGTAGACACTATACCGTGCCCAGTGGCAGTTACGATTGCTCATCTTGCACGGCGCCTAGGGGGTCCCAGTACGACATTTGATCCTCATGGCAAATCTAGGAGGTGAGTGCCGTTAGGCTCCTCAGTTTACAGCCGAGGAGAAGCAGGCACAGAGGTTAGCCCCTTGGCCAGGGCTGCACAGCTGGTAAGGGGTGGAGCAGGGGTTCAAATCCACCAGACCTCCTAACCACTAGGCCAGCTGCCTCGCAGAGAGGGCTCTGATTCGGCAGCAGGTGGCTCCCTCCTCTGGTCCTATTTACCCGTTTCCCAGATGAGGAACAGGACACATGGAGTGAGACGAGGCTCGCTGCCCAGCCCCTGCGTACCTGGGAGAGCAGGTCCTGGTTGGAGGGCGGGCTGCTGGCCTCACTCTGGATGCGGTCGTAGACCTCGGTCTCTCGGCGCTGCAGGTCCTGCAAGAGACGTGGGAAGGTCAGAGAAAGGTGAACAGAGGGGCAGGGCCCCGGCCTGCTATACCTCCCCGCCGCCCGAGGGAGCCTAGGGGCCGGGCAGACCTGTGAGGGGACACCCACCACCCCCAGCCTCGCCACTCGCGGTCACACGGCTGCACCTGTGCACCTGCCGTTCCCTCTCGGAGCCATCTTACCCCTCCCCCGCTAGTACAGTGCCACTCCTCTCTGTGCCCCTTGCCAGCCCCTCACATCGCCTCAAGGCTCTAGCAGAGCCTGTGCTCAGCCCGGTAGGCTCTCCAGGCCCCCAGGGAGCTGGCAAGAGGAAGGGCCCAGGCCCCCTCTCACCGTCCCTGCCTGTCCTTAGGTCCTTCGGTGCAGCCAGCAGCCCCCAGATGTGACTCCCATGGCCAAGGCTTCAATAGGATGCTCTCCTGGCATCCCCCCCTCACTCCCCTGGGCCAAAGCCCTGTCCCTGTGAGGGTCCCACCCACGCATCCACCCCTGTAGGTCTCCCTTCACCCCTCACCCCAGCCTGTGCTCACAGATGACCTAGGTACCCACTGCAGTCACACTCCTTTCCCACAGCTGTGCTGGGTTTGTTGCTGGGTCACTGTAGCTGTGGTTGGCACACTTGGAGAACACCACCAAATGAGCTATGATGACGGGGCCCCTCGCTCAGCTAGATGTGTGTCTTAGGGCCACACTCACTCTGGGCCCAGCTATGAACAGCCTGACCAGAGGCCTCAGGATGGTAGGAAGAGATGGAGCTTTGAAATCAGACAAGCCTAGGTTCAACTCTCAGCTCTGACACCTGCCAGCTATGGGCAACCCCGGAACCTCCCTGTGCCTCAGTTTCCTCATCTGTAAAATGGGAATCATTGTATCTCTCTTTCAGGCTCAATGGATGATTAAATGAGATATTGTACATAAAGGGCCCAACAGAGGGTCTGGCGAATCACAGGTGCTTAATAACTGTTGAATGGTCATCAAGGGAGGCTTGATGCCTCCCTCCCCTCTCTGCGGTCACAGCCTGGACCCTTCCTCAGACCCTGATGGGCACCGGGGTCCCAGGCAAGGGGCAGATGCTGCTCCTTGGGGGATGTCGGGACAGAGCTACTAACAGCCTAAGCAAGAGGCAGGAACCTTTCCTTCCCACGTGTACATGTCATATGGATGCCGGCTGCTTGCCAAGGAGGTGGTTTCCCTGGCAACAGGCAAGCAGGGGTTGCCGAGGCAGGCTGCAGAGACAGGTGGTGCTCTGAGGCAAGAGAAGGGAGGGGAGGTGGGGTGGGGGGAAGGAGGCTCCGAGAGGTAGCGGGGCATGAAAACCTGTGTAATAAACCATTTGGCACTTGGGAGACCCTCACTTCAAGGGCATCACACACAGGGATGGCAAGGCTGCCCTAGGGATCTCTGCGTCAGAAAGAGGGAGGGTCAGGACTTCTGTGGTGGCACAGTGGTTAAGAATCCACCTGCCAGTACAGGGGACACGGGTTCGAGCCCTGGTCCGGGAAGATCCCACATGCTGCGGAGCAACTAAGCCCGTGCGCCACAACTACTGAGCCTGCGCTCTAGAGCCCGCAAACCACACCTACTGAGCCCGCGCGCCTAGAGCCTGTGCTCTGCAACAAGAGAAGCCACCGCAATGAGAAGCCCGCGCACCACAACCAAGAGTAGCCCCTGCTCGCCGCAACTAGAGAAAAAGCCTGCGCGCAGCAACGAAGACCCAACGCAGCCAAAAATAAATAAAAATTTAAAAAAAAGAAAAAGAAAGAGGGAGGGTCTTGGAAGGGGTGCTTCCAACCTGCCTCTGGGTAAGGAAGGGGGCAAGGCTGTCCCAGGGAGGAGCCCAAATTCCGGTGAAAGGCATTTTCCAAGGCCTGCTCTGGCCTGTTGGGCTTTCATGCCTGCCCAGAGCACCAACCACTGCTGGCAAGCCTGGCACACGGGATGGGAATCTGCTTCTCAGCAGCCCTGGGCCTCCACCACCTGTCCGCCCGGACCTGGATCCACAGATCTGACAGCCCCCCAAGCTGGATGCTTCTGGTCACAGAGTGAAGGGAGAAAAAGGGCCTCCTGGCTGACATGTCAGCAGGAGAGCAGATCTCGGGTCCCACAGATGGTTCCCTTCTCCCTCGTGTCCAGTCCACGCGGGCTGCCCACCACGCATTAGCCCAGAGAGGCCCAGAGATGTCTCAGGTCACACAGCCCCTCCCGCCCTTCGCTCCATGTGCTCCCACTGGCCTGGGCACACAGCTAAGTGATTTCCCAGCCAGAGAAGAGCATCCTGACCTGGGACCCCACAGGCCTGGGCCCCACACTGCAGGGGTCATGCTGTGGGTGGGAGCAGATGCAGGGCTGAGGGCAGGGGAGGCTGCAGAGGTTGCTGCCAATTAGCAGCTGCTGAGTGAAGCCTCTGACAAGCCCTGACCTGCTGGGCTGCGTTTGCGTGCAGGGAGTGACTGGCATCACTAGGCTGTGAAATGCAGGGCAGCCCTGTCAACAGGATACCTCCTTGGCCTTGCTTGCTGGTGATGGGGACTGCCTCCCACAGGGTACGCCCGCGGGGAGAAGGCCAGGCCTCTGAACGGGCTGGGCTGGGCTGTACTGGGATACGGGTCTGGGATCCAGGCCCTCTGAGCCCTTTGCCTCCTGCTGCCCAGTATGAGCAGTGATGCTGGGCTGAGTGGTCACCAGCCCTGGCAGAGGCGTGAAGTTCGTGCCAAGGCTTTTGTCCAGGTGGGCTGAGGCCAGAGCTGAAGTCAGCTGCCCTGGGCCAGGACCTAATCTGAGGGTCCGGGACATTGGTCCCCCTGTAATACCCTCCCCTGTCACCAAGGAAACACAAGAGCTGTGGTCTCACGGACACCTGCATGTTGAGGTTTGCATGGTGCCCTCTGCGGGGCAGACGGCTGAGACCTGGGGGCCTTGTTCAGCAAAGAGTGGTACTCAGGAGAGATGGAGCACCTCTGCTCTAGGTCAAGGTCCTGGCGTGTGCAAAGTAAACGGCCCACGGCAGTGACAGGAGTCTGGTGAGGCAGGGCTGGGTTTGGCCTCCAATGAAGGCCTCTCGTGCCAGGCTGAGGAGCTGGCAATGGGGTGCCCCTGGAGGTTTCTGAGTGGGAAGCGACAGCATCAGTGGTGTGTCGGAAAGGCCCCTCCTGCTGCCGTGAGGCGTGGGAGGGCTGGAGGCTGACAGCAAGAATGAGGCGCTGGGCCAGGCAGAGGCTGGAACACAGCTGGGTGGGGGGGCGGTGTCCAGATGCTTCTGGGGAGCGTGAAACTACAAGGCTGAGGCCCCACATTCGCCATGGAGCACCTATTCTGTACCCAGCACCGAGCCCCAGGGAACCCCAGCCAGCTGGGAGCTAAGAACAGGCCTCCGCTCAGCTGATCGCTGAGCACCTACTACGTGCCAGGCACTGGGCTGGTGCGGGGGAGGGCGCCAGGCAGACCACGATCAGAAAGAAATCGGTGGCCGTAAGGGCCACGGAGAGACCCAGAGAAGGAGGATGGGGATGTTGGCTCATGGAGAGGGTGGGGAGGTCAGAAAGGCCTCCCTGCAAAGGTGTCCTCTGAGCAGAGAGCTGGGGAGTGAGACAGCAGCCCCTGGACGGCTCCAGAAAGGACACCGTGGAGGGGAGGGTGCAGCCAACACCAAGGCCCCCCTGCGGGGTGGGCATGGGGGGCAAGCCTGGTGCATCTGGAGAACATCAAGGAGGCCAGTGTGCCTGGAGCGAGTGAGTGAGGGGAGAGACAGTGGGAGGGCCTGTGGGCAGAGCTCTCAGAGACCACTGTCAGGGCTCCGGTGTTGACTCTGAGTGAGACAGAATCTATCTCACTAGACGGCCGAGGTGGTCATGAGAATGTGATCCGCAGACCTCCAACTCCAGGGATCAGCATCGACCCGGGGCCCCAGCTGCTGGGCTCTGAAACCCATCATTACGTGTGCACAGAGGGCCCCCCCCCCCCCGCCACCGTGGGCTACCGCCAGCCAATGGCTGAGCTCAGCAGGGATGCCATCACAGCCTCCCACCCTGGGAGACCTGGGACTCCTCTGACTGGGCTCCCCATGGCCTGCTGAATCTTCCCTAGATGGTGCGGTGGTCGGTGCATCCTCTCTGCCTTCCTTCACCCTTTCCTTTACCCAGGATGAGATCTGCAAGAGTCTGACGACTCTCCCAGTCTTCTCCATTTTCTCTCACAGGTGGTTTCCCTAATAAAACTATCACACATTTACCCCCGTCTTGGTGTCTGCTTCTCGGGGGACCTAGACTCACCAAGGGCCCTGAGCAGAGCGGGATGTGATCTGTGTTTGGGTGGGATCACTCTGCTGCTCCTGGGCGGAGCACAGACTGTGGGGCAAGGATAATAATGGGCCAGCTGATTAGAAACCAATTGCAGGACTCCAGGCACGAAATGGTGGTGGCTCCCACCAGCGTCAGCCCTGGAGGGGTGAGAAGGTCAGATGCTGGATATGTTCGCAATAAGATGTGCTGATGGATCCGATGTGAGCAGTGATGGAAGGAGAGAAGGAAAGGGCAATTTCAAAAGGTTTAGCCTGAGCATCAGGGAGGATGGAGCAACCATTCACTGCATGAGGAGGACTGTGGGAAGAGGTACTTCGATGGGTAAAGAATTGGAGATTGGTCTGAGAGAGAAGCCGATACGGGGTCCAAATGCAGTTGCTTCTGGTGTTCAGAGGAGGGGCCTGGGCTGGACGTATAAATTTGGGAGTTGTCAGAGTGTAGAGGGTCTCAAAACCTTGAGGCTGCTTCACTCCCAAGGAGGAGAGTGACGATCAAAGAGAAAGGGCCCCAGGCCTGGACTCTAATGCTTAGAGGTCAGGATTTCTCTGGTTCCTAAGAAGGAACCAGGGATGCAGGCTGAGGAGGCATGGTAGTGAGTCAGAGGGGCATTAGGAGAGAGTGGAATGTTCTGGAAGCAAGTAAAGAAAGTGTGTCTAGGAGGAGGGAGAGCTTGCTGGTGTCACATGCTGTTGCTCATCAGGAAAGAGGAAGGCTGGGAACTGACCACGGGGTTTAACAATGTGGAGGTCAACGGGGACCTTGAGAAGGAAGGCTTTGGGGGGCAGAAAGGAGAGGTGTGTAGAAAGCCTGACTGAGTGGGTCGGAAAAGAGAGCCAGAAACTGAAGACAGGGAATTTTGACAGATCTGTTATAAGGAGTCGTCGAGAAAGGACAGGGTCCCTGGAGGTGGCTGTGAGCTCAAGATAAGGAATTTAAGATGGAAGAAATCATAGCATGTTTGCAAACCGGAAATGTAATACTGTATCATTAGCCCTATATTAAAGGTTATGAAACCAAGGCTCAGAAAGTTTAAGTAGCAGAACCCGTGAGCAAAAGAACTAGGCCTTGAACGCCAGTCTGTCTGGCTTACTCCAAATCCATGCTCCTTAATAGGTCAACTTGGGCTTCCCTGGTGGCGCGGTGGTTGAGAGTCCGCCTGCCGATGCAGGGGACAAGGGTTCGTGCCCCGGTCCGGGAGGATCCCACATGCCGCGGAGCGACTAGGCCTGTGAGCCATGGCCGCTGAGCCTGCGCGTCCGGAGCCTGTGCTCCGCAACGGGAGAGGCCACAACAGTGAGAGGCCCGTGGACCACTAAAAAAAGAAAAAAGAAAAAAAAAAGGTCAACTTTTCACACACAAAAAAACTGGAGTAGTACAGCTTTTTTTTTTCCTGTCACAATACATCATGAACATTTTTCCACATGAATAAAAAGCAAAAATTGACATAATCAGAAGGAGAAATCTACAAGCAAATGGGCAGATTTTAACTCAATTCACTCAACATCTGATAGACAAAATAATCAATAAGGATATGGCATACTTTAGCAACACAGTCAATAAACTTGACCTCGCTGACACACATAGAACACTCCCTCAGCCATGCACAATGCACACGAAATACAAGCCAACAGTAAAGGGAGTCTCCAAAGACTTCAAAGGATTAAAATCCTACCGAATGTATTCTCTGATCACAGTGGAATTCGTGAGAAACAAAAAACAGAATGATAACTAAAAAACAAACGTTTGAAAATTAAGCAAAAGACTTTTAAATAACTCATGGGGCAAGCGGGAAATTTAAACTGAAAGACAACAGAACTATGACATATCAAAACTTGTGGGATACAACTAAAGCCATACTTAAAGGGAAGTTCATAACCTTAAGTGCATAAATTAGGAAAAAAGAAAGATTGAAAATCAGTGATCTAAGTATCCCTCCAAAGAAAGTAGAGGAGACGTATACAAAAATCCTTCCCTGGGCTTCCCTGGTGGCGCAGTGGTTGAGAGTCCGCCTGCCGATGCAGGGGACACGGGTTCGTGCCCCGGTCCGGGAGGATCCCACATGCTGCGGAGCGGCTGGGCCCATGAGCCGTGGCCGCTGAGCCTGCGCGTCCGGAGCCTGTGCTCCGCAACGGGAGAGGCCGCAACGGTGAGAGGCCCACGTACCGCAAAAAAAAAAAAAAAAAAAAATCCTTCCCTGGATGTTGTCCACTGTCACCACTCTTGTTCACCATCACTGTCTGAGGCAGTGCGATAAAACAAAAAAAAAAAAGAAAGAAAAGGTATGAAGATTAAAAAGGAAGAAATGAAACTTCCACTATTCATAGATGACATGACTAGGTTCATAGAAAATCCAAAGGAACTTACAGAGAAACTATTAGAATTAATTAGTGAATTCATCAAGGTTACTCTCTATATAAAGTCAATATACAAAAACCAATCGTATTTCTACATACCAGCAATAGACAATTAGAAAATAAAATTAGGGACTCCCCTGGTGGTCCAGTGGGTAAGATTCTGCACTCCTAATGCAGGGGGCCCAGGTTCGATCCCTAGTCGGGGAACTAGATCTCACATGCATGCCGCAACTAATAAGCCCTCATGCCGCAACTAAGGAGTCCGCATGCCGCAAATAAGAAGCCTGCATGCTGCAACTAAGACCCAGCACGGCCAAAAATAAATGAATAAATTTAAAAAAAAAGAAAATTAAAATGGGGACAACACCTGTATCCTGAAGCCCTATTATGAGTATTAATGACATAACAGGTATAAAATCCTACAACAGTACCTGGCACGTAGTAGGTACTCAACAAATGACTTCGTGACATCATCATCACTCTTGTGAACGTATTCTTATCTGCCCAGGCCCAGCCCCAGCAGCTAGGGACTGGTCTCAAGGGCTAGCAGAGTCTGCGGCCTCCCTTCACATCTCCTTGCCAGCCCTAAAACCTTTTGAAGCCACCCTGCAACCCGGCAGGGCCTTTGGGCCTCTTCCTCACGCTCCAGAGAAGTCTAAACACGGGCAAGAAAGATGTTCCATGCAAACGTGAGTCTCTTCCATTAAAAGTAATCTTGGAGAAGGATATTTATTCATGTGAAAAGATGTTCATGAGATATTGTAACATGAACAAAACTAGCTGCACTACTCCAATTTTTTAAAAAAAAAGTATGTGTGAGTGTGTGTATGGGTCTCTTTGTATGTGTTTACAGAAAAGACTGGAAGGTACAGAGGTCAGCGCTACTAGTGTTTATACTGGAAGAAGATAGGCTTACAATGATGGTTATTTTCCTCTTTTTGATATATATAGAAAGATCTCGTGTGTGTGTGTGTGTGTGTGTGTGTGTGTGTGTGTGTGTGTGTACGGAGAGAGAGAAATGTTTTCATTTAACAGTTGACACCAGAATTCCTCCTAGGGAAAATACCACGATGAGCTGCTGGGAGAGAAGAGAGAATATGGGGAAGTCTGGGGCCACGTGGGAAGCAGTGGCTGCTGGAAATTCCCTGGGGTGGAGGGGCTGAAGGCCCCATGAGAGCTGGCCATGTTACGTTCTGTTTGGGGTTATGGGCGCTGCCCTGTAGGAATGCTGCCTTTGCCTCGTCCCCATCTGCCTCATCCTCAGTAAACCGGACCATATTCTGAACACCCTCTGCGTGGGCTTTTATGGACATCGAGGAAGGACCTGAGTTGCATGTATGAGTCAGGGTGGTGGGGACAGGAACCGCTACAGCCCATACAGGCAGAGTCCCGGAACATGCCCTTGGAGGACCTGCAGGACCCAGGCATGGCTGTGCATCTCCCAGGTGCTGAGTCAAGACCCCTACCTGGCGGCTGGAGGCCCCGTGGAGTTGAGACCCCAGCTGACACTGGGTGGCATTTATTCTTCACTTTCTCCACAATGAGCATATGTTATTTGTTCAACTAAAATAGATGTAACTGAAAAAAGAATGTCTGTCACCATCCCAGCCACCGGGCAGAGTGACCACGTGTTGACCAGATGGGCAAGCCAGGCTGGGGGAGCGCACAGCATCTCAGCCGTGTCTCTGCTTGACTGTAAGGACATAAAACAGTGCGTGTGTGTGTGTGTGTGTGTGTGTGTGGTGGGGAAGGGGGGTGTGAAGAATTGAAAATCGTTGTGTGTTAAGGGCGTGGGACACTGCCTGACTCTTTCCTCTTTTTGTGATTCCCGTTGCTGTGGCTCCGATGCTGTTTGTGCAATAAAAACAGGAAGGAGTTGGTGAGCGGGTCAACGTCACTTGGTCAGATGAAGGGACTTTCTCCATTCCTCACCAACTGTGCCCTCACTGGCCCTCATTCCAGAAGTGCACGGGCACGCCAAGGAGGGGACCCCAGCGGCACCTCGCACCTGCACTCCTTCCAGGGCCCAGGGCCACGGGCCACACACTTGTAACCTCGGTTCACCTTCACAGAAATCCCTCCAGGCAGGAATTCTTGTCCCCAGTTTACAGGTGAGGAAGTAGAGGCTCCCAGAGAGGTCACACAGCTGGTACACTGGCCGAGCCAGGGAACCAGACCCCGAGCCAGGCCTCAGAGGGCGGAGGACTCACTGTGTAGACAGATTCGGGTGGAGGCTGCTCCCGGCTGCTGGCAGCGCTGGGGCCCTTCTGGGCAGTGTGCTTCCGTGGAGCCTGCGTCTGTCTCTGTGGGGAAAGGAGTCAGGGCTGGGGACCAGAGGCTCTCCTTCTTCCCACCCCCAACCAGACCCCACCAGAGGAAAGGATGGCAGGTTGTCATGAGGCCACTCAGAAGTGCATCACTCAGCACCTTCCATCCACCCTCTCCAGGGAAACAGGGCAAATACCTGCAAGACCTACATCAAACCACTCATCTGCCCGGGGACACCGGACATGATAAACATCCCGGCGAGGCAACTGCCCACCACCCAGTGCCAGAGCACAGTGCCCGCAGTGTGACAGGGTCCCTGGCTGCAGCCCATTACTGTGGGTGTTGCTGAGTGAGCCAGCGCAGGCCAGACCAGGTGTCCAGTCCCTCTCTGCCCCTCACTGGCTCTGCGGCCTCACTCAAGCACTTACTCTCTCCGGACCTCAGTTTCTCCAGCCATCACCCTCCTTTGCGAGATTGGTGCACAGATTCAGGGAGGTGATGAGGGAGTCAAGCACTCTTGACACTCGTGGGCCACTTATGTGGCCCTTGGCCAACCACACACACTCTGGTTAGCCAGGTGGTGTGAAGAAGGGGACACCATCCCTGCCCTCCCGGGGCTTAAGACCCGGTGGGGAGATGGACAACGAACCAGCAGTTTTACCACGTGTGGTTCATGCGCTGACCCACGGGGACAGAGCCCCTGGCGCACAGGAGGGAAAAAACGCCTCGCCTGGCAGGGAGGCTGAGAGGAAAGCTGTTTAAGGCCGAGATGTTCATTGGGAAGAGAGGCAGAGGGAGCAGGTCTGGAAGAATTTAAAGACGGTCGGCGTGGCCGGAGAGGCGAACCTGCCCTGGTTGGGTCAGGACGGCCATGCTGGGCTTCGAGAAGAGGGTGGACGGTGGAAAACATCTGAGGGCTTTAACCAGGAGGCGCCAGGATCAGAAAGTGGTTTCAGAAAGCTCACGCTGGGTGCTGCGTGAAGCGCTAATGGTCGTGGAGGCCAGGGCAGTGGGCCTTCGGGAGGGTGAGGGCTCAGCTCCTTCCAAGTCAGAGGGAGGCTGTCCGGACGCCCCCCTCATCTCAGGCACACCACACTGCCAACAGTGAAGCAACACAGCCTCATCTCGGGGCAGGACCTAATTAAAAACCCTAGCCGCCTGCCAATCCCCAGACCATTTACTTGGGATTAGCTCTCGAGAGCTGCTTAACACTCGGGCAGAAGCCAGCGCCACCCCCAGTCGCAGCATAATAACGGCTCAGGAGTACCTGGAGCCTCACTGGGTGCCAGGTGGGGCTCTAAAGGCATCACTTGCCTTATCTCCTGTGCCTCTCAACAAACCTGCAAGACCAGTCTTCATATCATCCCTGTTCCACCCATGAGGCTGTGAAGGCTCAGAGAGGGCTGACAACTTGCCCCAGGTCACAGAGCCAGAAGTGGCAGGGGCAGGATTGGAACCCAGGTCTGTGTGATTCACCAAGATGCTGATCTGGCAGTACCTGGAGTTTTCACTCCCCTGTTTTGTTTGAAAGTGCAGGTCTCACAGAGAGATCGGTGCAGGCATCCGGGCAGCACTTCACAGTTTACAAAGAACTCTGGGACTTATTGTCATTTAATTCTCATAGTAGCCTAAGGAGGTGGGCATGGACTTCCCACTTGCCAGAGGAGGAAACAGGTTTGTCCAGCTAGTCATTGACTGCCCTTGGATCAAACCCAGATGCCCAGTTCTCAAATCTCGTGCCTCTGCCCTGCACCACCTACTTCACTGCCAAGGCTGGCGGTGTGGGCTCATGGGCAGGGGCTCTCCTGGACCCCATGGGGAGCAGCACCCAGGCCTGGCCTCGTGGCATTCCTATTGAGGCTGGTGGGGCCGCCAGGGAGGTAACTGCCACTGTGGGTTCGTGAGGAGTCCATGTCTACCAGGGGCTGGGGCAGACTTCTCAGGGTTTGCTTGTGCCCTGAACATAGGACAGGAGTCTGAGGATGTGTCCCAGGCCAGGGAAACAGTGCAGTGTTATTACTGGGGTGGTGATGCTCCTTGGAGCCAGCCTTGCCCCATCTGGGTGCCCTGTCCCAGACCATCAGCATTTACCCTTCCAATTGTGATTTTCAAATGAATAAACCAATCGGCAGCTCAGGAAACCTGTAGAGCCTCTGTTTCCCCCTCTGTAAAATGGGAGCGATACTATCACCTTGCCCACCTCACAGCCTGGCCACCTCTGACTCATCTTTCAGGTCTCAGCTCTCATTTACTCCATCACTCCTTCCATAAGCACTATGTGTCAGGGTCTCCCAGACACTGGGGACACCAAGTCCCTTCTTTCTGGGGCTTATGCTCTGGTGGAGGAGACGGTAATGACACAGAAGCAAGGGTGTGGGGAGCAAAGAAAGAAGAACCAAGCGAGAAGCAGGGAGACCCACATTCTGGGCGAGGGGTGACGGAAGCCGGGGCTGGGGTTGGGGCAGGAGAGAAGGGGCTGGATCCTGGACAGACTATCGGCAGGACTTGCCGAGGGATCGGCCGTAGGGGGAGGGAGGGGGCGGGCACAGCAGCAAGCCTTCTGGCCTGAGCATCTGGGGGCCTGGTACCATGTGCTGAGCTGGGGCCGACCTGGGGGGACTAAGGAGTGCTGTTCCTGACCAGGTGGGTGCAGACGTCCGTGGGTGCCCACACGGAGTGGACGTGATCTGGGGCTCGGGGTGGGGGGCTGGGGGGCTCTGGGCAGCCACATTGGGTGGGACTGTAATCCCGGGAGCAGAGCCGTCACGGAGGAGCGTAGACAGATGAGGAGATCTCTGAGGAAGGGGCCTGGGAGGTGCCAATGTTCAGAGGCCATGAAAATGTGGGTGACCCAGCACAGGGCCACCAGGGGATCCTAGGACCAAGGAAGGAGTGTGCCGTGGAGGAGGGAGACTGTGTCTGATGCCCTGCGAGGATGAGGACGGATCAGCATCGGAGGCTGCCTGCTCCGGGGAGCCAACCTTGACCCCAGGTTGAGCCCTCGAACCTGCTCTCAGGACAGGAATCTGCGTCTTCCGAGTCAGTGGCTCCGGCTTCGATTCATTTATCAGATGTGCTGCTGGCGTCCTCCATGCCTCTTCCTCCTCGGCCCTGTCCTACCGGCCCCCGTGGCTGGCTGCCGGGCCTGTCTCTGGCCGGGGCTCCCACTGCATGCTTTGCTCCTGCGCTCAGCTCATGGTTCAAACGCTGGCCATCCAGTTCTGGGGCAGCACCTACAGGGGCCACGTCCGAATTTGGATCCAGCTCCGGGAAGCTCTGGGAACTTCTCTGGCAACACAAACCCAGCAGCAGCTTCTGGCCTCCTGAGTTCTCTCTCCTTCAGGACCAGGTTCTCACAGCAGCCCCTCCTCCCTCAAGTGCAGGGAGGGACAGCAGGAAGTGTCCATGCACTGTGCTCCCACCAGGGGTCGGGCACCAGCTGGTGACTCGCAAATGCGGTCTCTTCCACCCTTTTCCGGTAAGGGTGGGGATCCATCCTTATCCCCATTTCTGGAGGAGAAAACACACTCGGAGAGGGTCGAAACTTGACAAGAGGACAGGGGCTGCATCTGTCTTGCTATCCACTGTGTCTGACGATTAGCCCAGTGCCTGGCACACACTAGACACTCAACAGCTATTCCTGGAAGGAGAGGAGGGAAGGCGAGAGGGAGAGGGACGAAGGAGGCAGGGTCTCCGAGGCCGTGTGGCAGGAGGAGGGGCTGGGATCTGAGGTCAAGCTGAGGCTTCGAGGTTCACGCTCTCCCATCCTCCCTTCGAGACTTTACTGAGCACCTACTCTGCACCACTGTCTCCCTGGCCTCTCAGGACACTGAGATCCAGTCATTAAAATCCTCTTTTTGGGGCTTCCCTGGTGGCACAGTGGTTGAGAGTCCGCCTGCTGATGCAGGGGACACGGGTTCGTGCCCCGGTCCGGGAGGATCCCACATTGCTGCGGAGCGGCTGGGCCCGTGAGCCATGGCCGCTGAGCCTGTGCGTCCGGAGCCTGTGCTCCGCAACAGGAGAGGCCACAACAGTGAGAGGCCCGCGTACCGCAAAAAAAAAAAAGAAAAAAAATCCTCTTTTTGCAGAGCAGGGGCTGAAGTGAGGGCTCAGGGTCAAGGTCTTGCCCTGACTCTGCTCTGCCCTCACCGGCTGTGCTTCACACTTCATGGGAGGCGTTTGTGTGGTCATGCAGCAAGCCAAGTGGCGGGGGGTCCACAGACGGAGCACGAGTCCCTCAGCACCCCTGCCTGAAGCCCAGTTACTGTGTCCACACCCAGGTTGAAGCCTGGGAGCTGCTCGGTGAGGGCAAACAAGAGCTGTCCTGCCTGTACCCATCCTTGGAAGAACAACAGGGTGGGGAGGAAATATATTAAGGGCCAGTCACCGCCTCTCTGAGCCTCACTTTTCAGAGCTGTAAAATGGGAAGAAAAGTCTCTCACCAGGTGACGCTGGGACGCGAACCAGAGCACGCCTGGGAGGGTGCCTGGCACCCAGCGGCCCTGAGGAAAGGTGTCTTCCTTCCTTCTGGGCTGCCGGGGATCCAGAAAATCTCAGATAAGGTTTCCTAATCTGGAGGGCTAGAAATGGTAAGCACGCGGGCTCATGGCTTCCATCAGACACTCAGAGGGACCCGTGGCCCGGAAAAGGCTCAAGAGCCCGGATTTCTTGCAACAAGATCAAAAAGGACCTGGTGGTGGTGAGTTGGCAGCACAGGCCCAGCCACAGCGCAGGACGAGGGAGGGGGCCCTGGTGCAAATGGCCACGAGGAACACCTATTCCAGGCACCCCCTCATGGGGTGGCATCCCTAAGCCATGGTGAGTGGGGTGGGGGCAGCGTCGCCGTGTGCCCGCAGCCCCTACCTTCTTCCAGAGCAGCAGGGCCGTGGCCAGGATGCCAAGGACAGCCAGGAGGCCGATGAAGCAAAGAAGCAGGAGGTCCTGGGGGCCCTGCGGGGGCTCTCGGTAGCCTGTGTCTGGGTGCAGGGCAGGGAAGCAGAGACGTTAGTTGCCTGGGAGAGACACCCCCCACCCCCCAACCCTACTTACAACTCTCCCCCACCAGGACCCCCAGACCCCGCCTCTGCTGAGGTCCTCCTTCCCACACTCGCCTTGGCTACGTTTCTATGTTTGCTGCCTTGATTCCTATTAGGAGTCAGGACTACATCCTTTGCTTCTTAGGTGCCCCTGCCTCGGTGACTTGGGTCCACCGAGAGGTGCTTATGGGACCTGGGTGAGCCATTTCGCCTCCTGAGGCCTCCTCCTTTCCACACGTGAAGTAGTGATCATACAGGCAGGAGTGGTGAGGGTGAAGGGGGTGGGCTTGCACGAGGCCTGGCAGGTGCTGCCGGCACCAGGGGTAGGTGAGAGCACCACCCAGCCCCTTCCCTTGAGCCATCCAGCCTTTCATCCACCACTTTCTCCTTCCATGCCTCTGTCCACCCCTCTGTCCAGCTGGTTGGCCCAAAATTACAGAGTGCCAACCACATGCCAGGCTCACGAGCGTCTGTTATCTAACTAGCACGTCCTGCTACCGGGCGCCAGCCCTCGCATTCAGGATCTCACTCATCCCAGGAAAAGCCTCTGACAGGCAGGGTATTGCCATGAAGAGTAGGTCCAAGGTGATATCCTGGCAAGCAGCAGGACTGAGGGCCAAACTCAGGTCCGTGGGATTCTGTAACCCTGGCCCCTACCAGCGGGAGTCGCAGAGGTGCCTCAGAGAATCGCGACTTCAGTGATGGGCTGTTCTTAACCTTTTGGAGTCATTACTCTTTTGAGAATGTGAAGAAAACTAGGAATCTGTCCCCAAAAAGATATACACGAGCCATGTCTTTGTTCACAGGTCTCTGCAAACACACGTGCACATGCCCCATTCTGTGCTCACCGAACTAATAGTGCCAAAGGGACACTGAGAAAAGGGCCTGCCAGAGGTAGTCAGACCCACACCCCAGGCCTCTGCCCCTGCCACACAAAGATGGGCGTCTCGGCACAACTGTGTGGCCAGGGGCTCCCCGAGGCTGCTCTGTTCTGTTTTGCCAAAGCTGAACAATGAGGCAAACGTTCCCCACTTCGGCTCCTGTGCCCCAAAGTCTGCCGGCTGAAACCTCCGGGCCCTTCGCCCTGGGAAGAGACGCGGAGGAAGCTCACCTCTGACCAGGATGAAGGTGCCGTTGCCTGTCACCCTGGAGCCCGGCCAGCGGACGGAGCAGTAGTAGGTGCCAGTGGCAGCTGCGTCAGGCAGCTTGGGGGTGATCTGACACTCTTCGGTGTGGGTCTGGTTCTCTCTGCCTGGACCAGGTTTGCAGCTGGTCTTCTCCTCAGAGCTCGTCCGGCCCAGGAGGTCCACGTAAAAGTAGCTGACTGTGAAGTGCTTGAAGGTGGGGGTGTATGGGTAGGTAATCCTGCAGCCGAAGGACACGGCCTTGTTGGCCAGAGATACCACAATGGGGAGGCCGGTGTGGGTCACCGACTGCCCTCCTGCAGGGGAAGGAAAAGGAGAGAGTGGTAACTTCGATCCCCTGCTTCCCCTTGAGGACCGTGCCTCACACTCACACGTCCCACGCCCTCAGTGTGTGCAGGTGGTGTCCAAGTGCTTTACACGTGATGACTCTATACTTCCCAACACACCCAAGGCACAAGTGTGTAAGGGCTCCATTTTACAGAGAGGAAGAGTCTGGGGTCAGGGAGGTCAAGCCTCTAGCTTTCAGTTTCTCTGCAGGTATGGAGCGGAGCTGCCACCCCCCCAACCCCGGGCTGGATGACCCCAGACCCCACGCTTCCAACCACTCTCCCTCCCAAAGGTCAAGAAGCCACGTTGGATAAAATCACAGGTCTGAGACAACCCGAAGCTGGTGAAGGATGAGAAGTAAAGAGGAAAGGGGCAGGAAACAAAATAATGAAACCCTTCCTGGCAGGAAGAAGCACTTCCTGGCATAGACAGACGCACAGAGGGAGGCAGGTCTGCCCAGGGCTCTCCCCAGCCTGAGGGGGAGGCATGCCAGGGAACAATCAGGAGAGACACACCTTTCCCTGAATCTGAGCTTGGAGCATTTGTCAAGTTTTTATAGACTATAATAAGCAATGCCCCAGAAGCAGTTTTCCAACAACACAGAGGTGCTCCTTATGCAGCCATTTGGCCGTGAGCATGACGAAGGCAGTTCTCCGGGAGCTGTCTTCTCCCCCACCCCCGTGTACCACCCCCCTCTCATCAGAGGCACCTAGGAAAACAATTTGAAAGCCCCCAAAGCAGCAGCCTGCCCGGCTGGGCGGCCCGCCCTCCCGCAGGCTCTGAGGCGCTGGTCAGATCCTGTGCAGGGTCAGCACAGCTGCCACCTCTCCCCCTGCCCGGACTTCAGCTGCACAAGCCACGCCCACCTTCAGTACGCCCTGTCCCCCAGCGCCTTCCCTCTCCTGCAGATGAACGACAGACAGTTCTAGACTGAGGTCGGCATCGAGCAGCCTAGAACATGCTGGCCAGGTTGCTAATCGGGAGAAGATGCGTTGGAGCCACTCGCGGGGAGCAGCAGGGTTTAGGTGGCTGGGGAAGTGAGGCGTGGGCCTCCCACCTGCGGTCCGTGTGGCTCTGGCGAGAGGCCAGGCCGGTTTCTTTGGTTTCTTCTTGGGTCCTTTCAGCTCAGCCCTGGGCCGGATCCTCAAGGGAGGTGAGGCCAGGCCCCCTGGGAGACTCGGGGGCAGGGGCAGAGAAGGTCCTCCACACCCGCTAATCCCTCCAAGCTCGGGCCAAACAGATATTTTGAGCTTCCTGGGGAGCAACTAAAGAGACACCCCCTCCCCCGAAGAACTCAAGCCAGTTCCAGGGAATCGGCTGGTGTGTCTGGACGTCACAGTAGGTTGATTTTGTCCTGTGTGATGCTCACGTGTGGAGACGCCACTGAGCCAGCCCCGGGGGCGCCCCTCCGGTGAGCGGCGGAGAGAGGACTTCACACCGCACCGTGGACCTCTGGGCTGCTAGTGGCTGCTGTTTAGCTAGAACGATATATTCATTTTGTCATAAAACAAGGAGCCTTGATTCAGGCCTGAGGTTGGAGGCGTGGCAGGGGCAGGGTAGGGGTGCAGAGCCGGCGGGAGAGGGGTTGTGCATGACCCCCCCAGGGTCCCAGGTGGGCCGAGAGGACAGGAGGCGAGATGAGCAGTGCTCTCCAGCCCATGCTGTGTCCTTCCTGCGCACAGGCCACCGCCCCCCTCTGCAGCCACCTCCGCCGTCCTCTCTGCCTGGGACCGCCACCTCCTCACCTGGCCAACGCCTAGTGGGTCCCCCAAACTCGGCTCAGGAACCACTTGCCAACTCTTCCGTACCTCCCCTCATCTGGTTCTCCTGGTGACCCTGGGAGGCAGCCCGCCAAGCGCCAGCAACAGGCTGGTGTTTCCTCATGAGGGTCGGCAGGTTGGAACTCAACCAAAACCACCGGGAAAGTGGCTACGCCGAGGCCTCTCCCCCTCCCCCAGGGCCGCTTGCTCCTCCTCTCCCGTATCTAAGAGGCCCCTCCAGGCCCGGGGAGGCTGGACGTGCTGTCAGCACGGCGAGGCCACCTTCCTGTTTGTCCTGGCAGGAAGACGTTCATCCAACTGTCTTAAAAAATTATCCCCATTTGAGGTGTCTTTCTAGAAAATGAAGGAATCTGCTAGTGCAATTAAGCCAATCTTTTACATTTCTGGGGAAATCTATAAAAATAGATGATCATTGTTCTGTATTCTTCTGGGATTTGTTATTTTAAGGTCAGAGGGACAGGACTGTGGAAGTGTATGGTCTTGGCTCAGGTCTGCCACAGAGAGAACCTCAGACCTCAGGTGAAACTGCTGTCTCCAAAAAGTGAAGGGATGAGGCCATCTCTGTGGACCAGTAAGGTCCGTCAGTCAGGAGACAGCAGGCCCAAACAAGGAGGAGGACGGGAGGCCTGCTCTTGCAGCAAAGGCGATTGGGTTCTGACCTGTTGATGTAGCTAACTGCTTCCAGGGCCCCTTCTTTTTACTGGGTGTCAGCACCCCAGAGCCTGGACCATGGCAGCCCAGCTCCCACCTCCTCTCCTGGACCTGTGCCTCCAAGAAGCCCCTCTGGGGTCCAGGCTGCTCCAATCGGCGGCCACCTAGAAGCATCCACCAGTTAAGGCCCCGTGCTACAGACAGGTTCAGAGTAAGTTCTGAGTCCACAGATGCTTTTCAGCTACCAGTTGTTTGCAGCTCCAACAAACATTTAAGAGTATCAGTTAGATCACAGGCCCTGTTTGAGGTCCAGAGGGGCTCCCTGCCCTGGCAATGTCCCCAGTCTAACAGGGACGGGAGGGAGCCTGGAGTGGGAAGCCTGGTGGAGAGGGAACCACTAACTGTGACTAGGGAGGAGGCGAAGGGGTGGTGATGCCCTGGGGGTCTGGAAGCAGGAACACACACGTACAGTGAGGCCAGAACTGGCCCAAGGACAGAGGGGAAAGAAAAGGTATAGAAAACGTATTCTGGCTTCGTGTGGCACAGACCCTACATCAACTAAACACCGTGACAGGACTTCCCTGGTGGTGCAGGGGTTAAGAATCCTCCTGCCAGGACTTCCCTGGTGGCGCAGGGGTTAAGAGTCCTCCTGCCAGGACTTCCCTGGTGGCACAGTGGTTCAGAATCTGCCTGCCAATGCAGGGGACACAGGTTTGAGCCCTGGTCCGGGAAGGTCCCACATGCTGCGGAGCAGCTAAGCCTGTGGGCCACAACTACTGAGCCCGTGTGCCACAACTACTGAAGCCCACATGCCTAGAGTCCGTGCTCCGCAACAAGAGAAGCCACCGCAATGAGAAGCCTGCGCACCACAATGAAGAGTAGGCCCCACTCGCCGCAACTAGAGAAAGCCCAAGTGCAGCAACGAAGACCCAACGCAGCCATAAATAAATAAATAAATTTATTTATTTATTAAAAAAAAAAAAAGAATCCTCCTGCCAACGTAGGAGACACGGGTTCGAGCCCTGGTCCGGGAAGATCCCACATGCCGCCCGTGAGCCACAACTACTGAGCCCGTGTGCTGCAACTACTGAGACCTGTGCACCTAGAGCCTGTGCTCTGCAACAAGAGAAGTCACCACAATGAGAAGCCTGGACAACACAACGAAGAGGAGCCCCTGCTCGCCACAACTAGAGAAAGCCCGCGCACATCAACGAAGACCCAACGCAGCAATAAGTAAGTAAGTAAATAAATAAAATAAAAATAAACACCGTGACAATCCTATGAGGCAACGATTGCAACCCCATTTTGAAGAAAAGAAAACAGAAGGTCTTAGAGGTCCAAAGCCACAGAGTTCCTAAATGGTAGAGTTGGGATTTGAACCCAAGTTTGTCTGACTGTGCTTAAGGAAGAAAAGCCAGCACTCGGGCCAGGCAGCGGAGTCAGACCCAGCCAAGTGTGACCGGTGCCAGACTGTGAGCGTTCGCGGTAGCACCAAGCACAGGAGACGTCAGATGCTAAGAGAGGGCTTTGTCAGACGCCTGGTAGGAGGCATACTTTTCCACAGTTGGAGGCTGACAGGTGGCTGCACGGCTGCAAGATCACATGGAAACCACGGACCAGACAGTGTGGGTGAAGAGAGGGCTTGGACAGAGCTGCTGGGGCACCCAACCTGCCCTGCGGGGGCCTGCTTCTCACCCTAGATGCAGAGGGGCTTCCTTGGGATGCTCACAGAGCTTGAGGTGTGCCCCCTGAGTGCCACAGGGATGGCACGCGGGCTGGCGCCTGTCTCAAGCCCTGTATCAGCTGCATCACGCTTTGGCCCTAGTTCAGCAAAGGGAGTGTGTCTCCCGGGGGACAAGGTGGGCCAGGGCCGAGTGGGCCAGCCTGGGGATTCTCTTAGATTCATGGGCTGTCAAGAGGGGCAAACGGCCCAGGGAGGAGGACTGGGGCGGACCTTGGATTCCTGAGGCTGTAGCAGGAGGGAGAACCACAGGAGCCCGGTTGGGGGCCCCTGAGTGGCCACGAAAGTGCCCAAGAGAGTCCACTCCACACCCTGCACCCAGAGACAGGCCCCGTGTCCACAATACCTGATGGGCAGGGCTTCTCGCTCCTTCCCGCTCCACCCGGTTGACACGTGGGGACGCTCGAAGAGGGGATCTGAGCAGAGAAGGAGGGAAGGGGGCCCTCACTCCTTACTCTCACCCCATGGCACCAGGAATGAGTTCGGCGTCAGTCAGTTCTGAATCTTGGCTGTAACTCAGGTTTGGAGACTTGAAGAACTCATCTGCGACGGTAAATGACCGCAGGGCTCTGCCGTGCTCAGGATGGCTGCAGCAGCTCCAGGCGCGGAGGAACCTCCGCACACCGAGAGATCTGGGCCGCAGCAGCACCACAAAGCTGCTTTTGGATAATTCTGTGCATCCCGGTGCAGCCTACAGGCCCGGACAGGCACCGGGAGGAAAGCACTTCAAGGAGCCTGGCGTGTTTTCTGCAGGAGGGACGGATTGGTGGCACAAGGGAGAAGGGGCTGGAGGCGG